CCCTGACAGGCTGGTACTAGCCATGTGGCTGGGAGAGTCAGGCGGGCGGGTGACCAGGTGCGGTGGATAAAAGGCTTACAGGACATAATAAATAAACATAAAGCTGAATATAAAGATGAACATTTATTACTTAAAGAAGAGGCAGAGAGACAGAGAGACATGGAGACAAAGAGACATAGAGACATAGAGGAGACACATGTGCACATGCCAAAAGAGGGAACAGAAGGAAGAAGTTAAGATGGCGATGGAGAGGTCAGAAGTGACTGAGAGTGGGCGTGCTTGCCCCTTAAAGGGACCAGACCAAAACAATAACACTGAGACAGTGAGAGAGTGTTGTAAAAGGGCCTGCTTGTTTCATTCCTGGCTGCTCAGAACCAAATAATCACACAGAAACTGTATTATTTAAATCACTGCTTGACCCATTAGCCTTAGCTTCGTGTTGGCTAACCCTTACATATTAATTTAACCCATTTTCACTAATTTGTGTATCACCACGTGGCTGTGGCTTACCAGATAAAGTTCCGACTGGTTCCAACAGGGCTATTTGACTTCTCTCTGACTCTGCCCCCCTTCTCCCAGCATTCAGTTTAGATTCTCCAGATACCTAAGTTCTGTCCTATCATCAGGCAAAGGCAGTTTCTTTATTCAAAAATGGTATCCACAGCATACAGAGGAGAATCCAATATCAAAAGAGCTAAAAAGAAATATACTTAAAAGCATATGGTTTAGACAATTTTTTTCTTGTGGAGGTTTACTTCCACAAAAAGGATTTAGACTGGGAAAATTTGCAGTTGAGTAACTTAAAAAACATTTCAGAGCAATTTTAGAAGACAACATAAAACAGTAAACATTTTAAAAATATTATGTAAATAGTGTTTTTTACTCTGTAATTACTAAAATATATCCCACTCATTAAAAGGGACACTTAATGATTGTTTACTTGAGAAATTATAGTACACATATAGCATGTATTATGCTACTAACTTTTATTCACTTATGAATTTCAGTAAAATATTTAACTTTCTACAGTTTAGTATTCTTTTCCAAGAGGCACTTTAGAATGTACTCATTATATGAGCAGTCTTTGAAGAGTTTCTAATTTCTGCTGCATCTCATTCATTTCAACTCCTGCCTTTAGAATTTCATGCTCAGGTTATAGCCAGGTGACAGACCAGAGGTACTAAGAATCTTGGAATTGAACATGCTGTGAATAACATCTATTTCACCTACCCAGTGTGGTTCATAGGTATATTGTAGCAGTCCTATTTTCCTAGTTTTTTCACAGAGCATTCATTTAATAATATTTTAAATACTTCCTATAATGTGAATGCAATAGTATCCTTCTCCTTGATATTAATTTAAACTTTCTTACTCACAGACTTACTGCAGTATCTTACTTAGTATCTGCTGTGGAGGAAACAATGCCTCCTCCCAAAATGGACACATATAATCTACAACCTTTGAATGTTACCTTAAAAGACAGAGGGAGCCCACAAACGGTGTAGATTTAAAGATGGGACCATTTCCCTAGGGTATCAGGATGGGGAAGTAATACAATGTTATGTGCCATTCATTATGGGAGCAAGAATTGTCTATAGTAAAAGAAAAGATGGTGTGATCTATGAAGTAGATATTGTAATTATGTGTATGCAACCCATGGAATGTGCAAGAATCCTCTAAAAGCTGAAAGAGTCAAGGGAAAACCAAACTTGTGGAGCCTGGAGAAGGTATTGATGTTGTCTTAAATGAGATTTTTTTTCTTTTTACTTTTGACATTCAGAACTATAATGAGATTATATTTAGGTTGTTTTAGACAACTCAGGGATTCAGACTCAACCTCCAGGACTTTAGACTTGGATTTGTTCCATTCTGCTTTTTCTTTAGACATCTCCCTATATCTATGAAGAAAAAGGATGATCCTGATGGAGACTGACTAAAAAAACACCTTAGCGATCACAGAGTTCCACCTCCAAGCTCCAACATTTTGTATTATGGATAAAACTTGTATGCTTTGATTGTATCTTAACTAGATCATTGTTATTATCTTCTTTTCACCAACTGTCAACCATGCTCTCAAGTCAGTCCCATCAACATAATTAGATTTATGAGTTTGTATTTGAATCAAATGGTTTGTTGTTGTTGTTGTGTTTTGTTTTCTCTTGCTATAAAATTGACAACACTTTTTACACAGCTTGTTCAACCTTTCAAGATATCCTGAAAGTGGTGAGCAGATTATGTATATAATCCAGCCCATCTTCTTTTGGGAACTTACCGGGAGCCATTGCCTATGTCCAGTCTAGTCTCTGAACACGTTAATGTAGTTGCTTCCTTGTAATATCTTTGCTGAAGTTGTGATTTATAATTGCCCACAGACCCTTCTGCTTTATTTCTTCCTGTTATCTTAACCATCTCAGCAGACAAGATGCTCAATCTGATCACTGACAAATACCATCTTTTCAATCAAAAAGAAAATGCCAAACTCCATCACCACCTACTGTCATGTTGATTACCTATCAAAATTACAAGTATACAGACATGATTATTGATCCACTGTCAAGGCACAGACATATCTAGACCTTCTGAGAGGTAACAGCTATGTATTTACACTGTCCAAGAGAAAAGGGTTTCTAAGAAAATACTTTTAATAGTAAGTACATGACTACATTTTCATTTTTTAAAATTTCTCGTCAGCTAATTTGTTCACTGTTTTTTTTAAATGCCCAACTGTGTAGCAAATGGCATACTAATATTCTGAACATATTCACCATAATGATGAAAGGGAGATATAATTCACTTTACAAAGCTGTAGCAGAAAAGTAATTGTCCATGGCAACATGGTTCATGAGGCAATAAAGATTTGAACTTATGTCTGTCTTATCAGAAAAGCTTAACTTCTCTATATTAAATAAACTTTTCAGCATTAAAAAAGATTAATGCTACCTGTCTAAATCCATTCTAAGTAAAAATCCATGCTTCAGTGTATGATAAATAATACCGACCTAGTAGTTACATTTGCTCTACACTGAAAGAAAATTTTTCAGCCTTTGTGCCCATAGATAGGTGTTCATTTTCAATATTTTTGAGCTAATCCATTTACTGTCACACATGCAGCACTGTAGCAAGATTCATTATTTTCCACTCATCTCTATTTTAATGGAAGCAGGTTCAATATTCTCTGTAAAGGTCATAATACTAAGCACAGTATTATCTCTCCAAATTTTTAATAGACAGGTACAATTCAGACAAGATAAAGAGAAATCTATTTCAGAGCTTCTGGAGAAAACACGGAGGAACTGAAAGGTTTCCTAATCAGTATATTGCTAAAGTTTCTTTAGACAGGCTTGCAACGGCCTTGTGAACTCTAAGCCATTGAGCTGATCTTCTGCTCCACACGTCGTGATCACTCTGGGAGGTCAGATGTGTGCTTACTTCTTGGTGATGATCGAAACTTCTTTCTCTTAAGAATTTCAAAGAAGTAGCGTCCCTGGCCTTTCGTTTTATTCCTTTTGGAGGCTCTTGCTTTGCTTTTACTTTATAGAGAAAATAATCTTCCATGCTTCAGTTTCACCTAGTTATTTGGAAAGAATGAGTCAAACAGTATACCTACTTGTGGTTTCTTGCTTCTTGCTTAGCAATTTTTTTTTCATTCATGTGATTCTGTTGCCTTGATCCAAAGCTTTTACGCTGTTAGGCACATGAATAAAGAATCAAAGAGGGAACAAAGGGCAGAAAAGAGCTGAGATCTTGGTGAAGCTTAAGTACCCAGGTCAAATAATTTGAAAGCACAAGAGAAAATCCCAGCAGTTTTATATCTCCACATAGGATAAAGTTCTGTTAGCAATGAAAGTTGCAATGAAATACTATACAAGGATGAATAGTATTAAACTTGAAAATAAATGCAGACAGGTAAAATAGACCAAAAAGTGATGAATCACAATGAAATAGACAAAAAAAAAAAACAATAAATAAAATAGAACCTGAAGAAAGAAGAAATATAAAATTGGTATTTTGTGTGAATCTGTATGATCATAAAATTATCGCATTAGAACTTTTTAAATTTTCAAGTTTTAAAAGTTGCTGAGTGTGTAATTTAACTGAGGACGTGAGTTTTACCTCCTGGCACCACAAAAATATTTTTAATTTCTGACTTTTTATTTTTATCTTTGCATTTTATTTTTTGAGTTGTATATAGTCAAATTCTAAAATGTGCTGACCACTGCCTTTTGTCCTGCAGCGGTCACTGCTCTCCTCCAGTCTGTTTTGGCATCTCTGTGTTTACAGCAGAGTTGTAAGCTGAACACTCCATTGCGCCATCATCTATGTTAAGGTTTTCACATTACATAATGTTTTGCAAATATCCGAGCTATGAATCTATTCATGGCTGGTTTTGATTGGTTTTTGTTTGTTTTCTAGATGATATGTTACAATTTGTTGATCTGGATATTCATTGTTACATTTGTGTTGATTTCAGGTTTGGACTCTTTTGAATATACTAAAAATTTGAGTACAAAAGGAAAGACATCCATGGGTTAACTAAATGATGAAGTTTGTACTATCATAATCCAATCATTTTTTCAATAAAATAGCCAGCTAGATATCTAGCTTTCACTGACTAACTCAAGTAGGAAGTGAACTTTATGATTGAACTCCACCAATGGCATATGATCATATAAGTCAATTTTCCTCTTTTTAGCAATTATAGGAAAGATTATTCAGTTACACAGTTACAAAGTAAAAATGTGTCTAGGTAAGTCTGCCAACATTAACATATTACAAGGACTAATGTAGTTACCCCTTAGTCTTAGGATATGATCAAAGGAGATGTGAACTAGACAGTTTATATTGCTGTTTTAAAACCACTCAACAAGAACATATGAACAGCTTATGTTCTCAAGCATATACTTTTTATTAAATAAATGCTATTCAGCTTTTGTACAAAAGATGGTAAGTTTTAACATATCATTTTACTTATTTCCTGTTGATTTTGGTGTGTCTTGCAGCTGCTGAAGGCATGGTGTGCAATCACCTGTGTTCAAATGATGGCTGTTGGGGACCTGGGCCAGACCAGTGCCTATCATGTCGGCGCTTCAGCAGGGGAAAAATCTGCATAGAGTCTTGTAACCTCTATGATGGGTAAGAGACGACAAATCCACTTTAAACACATGAGCTATGAGCTACTGACTAAAGCAAAATCTGAGCTTTAGAAAAATGGAACCCTGACTGCTCTTTGGACTGGAGGGGAAGGAGAGGGGGAGGAGGAGTGGAGGGAGGGGGAGGAAAATGGGAGGGGAAAAGGAGGTGTAAATTTTTAAGAAAAATATAAAAAAATAAAAAGAATTTATGAGTCTATCAAAATTTTTCAAGAGCATCTGTGATGCAAGAAAATAGATAATAAGTTGTTTCAAGGAAAAGTAATTTTTGTTTGAGATAATAAGTCTAATATTGATCAACCTTCACATTTTAAAAATATTTACCAAGATATATAAATATTATTAAATTTTTACCCACTTACACATTAGTAAAACTGTTTAATTTTCAACTTGCGTTATGAGTAGATCACTAAAGCTTCCTTCCCTTGCACCAGTGGTTCTCAACCTTGATAAAGCTACAGCCCTTTAATAATCTTCATGGCGTGGTAGGCAATATGCAACCCCAACCATCAAATTGCTCTCATTGCACTTCATAACTAAATTTTGCTAGTTATGAAACGCAATGTAAATATTTTTAGAGACTAAAGTTTGCCAAAGGGATTGTGAACCACAGACTGAGGACCCCTGCCCTTCACCTTATAGCCTGCTGCAGTTTCCCCTCTTGCACCTTTCTTTCGCTTTTCATTGAGAGTGACCGCAGAGCTCCTAATTTTCCTCCAGGTTGTATGGCTTGTTTCTACCTGAGAAACAGCCCATGTCTCTGTGTCTTTAACAACCGAAGAGGAGTACAGAAAAACTACAGCTATGGCTTAAGTTGAAGAAGTTTGAAAGGTGCTCTGCCAGCGCCTAAAAAAAAGTGTTTCAACTAGAGACTTTAGTTCCCTGGGGTACTGCAAGCATCGCGTTGCTGCAGGAAATCCTAGTATTCATTCTCTACTGTGGCATGTCATACCCCAGAAAAGCGCTTTATCACAGCACAACTTTATCCACCGTAGTTGCCCTTCATTTGTGTGATAATATACTTCTCAGGGCTGTTCCTAAGTCAGTTTTCCTCATATATGTATATATCTCAATGAAAGTATTTTTGGAAATTAGGTAAACTTTATCTTAAAAACTGATTGAACCTGTCAAATAAATACACATTAATAAAAATGAAAAGTCCATTTATAAGTATATATTTATAGGTACAGGATTTTTGTATGTATATATACCAAGAAAGCACAGAAAGAAAACTTTTTGATGGAAAAATAAAGTTGAACAATTCAGTCTAATTTGCATTCAAATTCAAGTGGCAAAGTAATAACAATGAACAATCAAAATGGAAGAGACAGTAGTTAAAATGGAATCTTGAAACCCTGAATCTTTTCCTAAACGGCATACATTCTTAATCCTTGAGATCAACACATAAACACGAGAGTGCAAGTCAGAGGTCTTTGATGGCAATTGCATATTTAAAAATCATTCCTGAGTAAAACATGTTTTCTCCTTTTATAGAGCATACTTAGTAAACTAATTATCAAGTGTAAATACTCAAATACAAGTGTTAGTATTTAGATTTTGGGGACTCGGTTTTATAGCATTAATTCCGATCTGAGGGCTGACTATGCTAGCACATTAGCATCATAGACTGTAATCTGTTAAGACACATCCAAGGGAGGGGAACTCTGCAAAAACCACAGTTAAGTCACCAGGGGATGTGGAATAAGAAGAGCAATGATCAAAGACTCAGTAACTCTCCAAGACTTCAAGGAGGACCTTTGATAAAAGCAGGAAGCAGTCAGGAGCCCTATGAATGAAATTAGGGAGGAAAGGTGAAGTCTTTCTTTGTTCTTATGACACTGTATTTACTCTATAACTGTGTATGTGGAGAGGTGCACATTGGGTAGTGGAAAGGGGACAAACACAGACTACATTTTAGTAGCATAAACTTATATTGTTCATTTGTCAACATAACCCTTTAATGGGCAAGGACTGTATTATCCCAAACTTGTAATTATGTGAAACTCAGACTATCATAAAATTTCATTGTACATTATTTGTAACTTTTTGTAGATTTAAGTATTCTATTTGGGTCATTTTCAACTTTTATTCTGAAGACCTCCTCAGTTAAGTACTTTCTATCACTCATGTTAATGAAGAACAAAGAGAAGGTTTGTTTTATAACTAAGATTTCAAACAAGAAATTTCATAAACTGTTTAGTCTAAAACAAATTAAGATCTTACTGTACAAGTACTAAATTAATGTGACTGAATGTTTAGGTCTTATACCGATATTAACCTGTGAATACTCTACATTTTGAAACTATATTTAAATCCTCTTCTTTTGAAGAAAGCATAATAGCATATGTGTGTGAAAATTCCTTAGGAATCCCAATAAATTATATCCTAATTTTAGAAATTAATAAAACAGAAATTGAACTTTTGAATTCATTTATCCAACAGAATATATAACTTACCCTTTGGAAATCCGTTGCTTATTAATATTTTATATCTTCAAATAAAAAAAAGAAGTGATGACTTTAGGGAAGAAAATATTTTAGAATTTATCACCTAATTAATTTATAATTACACTAGTCATGTTAATATTGGTTTCAAAAGATATCTCAGGATACAGAGGCAAAAATTGTGAATAAATTATATGTATAAATTTATTTAATGATCAACATTATTAGTTACTCCTAAGTGACACTAAATTATCTTACCCAGTATTTCGTTTTGTATTTTAGGGAAAATAATGTAATTTTAGCATAGTATAGATGACTTGATTTCAATTATCAAAGTAAAATATTTATATTAGACTTCAAAGAAAATAATTTTCTATTTAAAACCTATAATATATAAATAGACATAAAATATAGTGATATAAAAACAGAGAGTCCCAATCATGGTAGATTACAACAATAAAGTTTTATACTACAGACATTAAAATAAAATATTTATTTTATTCCATATAGAATTACTTCAAAAAGAATTTAGACCAAAAGGAATGCTGATATTAGATCAATAATCTAAGAAAATAAAATCTTCCATAAAAGATACTTTTTTTAATTCTCCAAGGCAGACATTTTAAAAAGAGATAAGATATCAAAGTCTATTTTGAAGCTTGACCAAAAGTAAGTTTAATAGTCTTCAAATTTGAAGGACAAGGTTGGAGAACATTTATATAGCTCAGCAATTAAAACACTGCAATAGTTTAAAAATTAAAACTTCAATCAAAGGTAATATTTTATGTAGAAATAAGCAGAATAGTCCTTCTCAAAGAAGTGGAAGTTATTCTGCTGTGTCATCAAAAGAGAATTATTTTCTATTTTTGGAAAGCATTAGAAGGTTCTCTCTGACAGGAGAGTCCTTTCCAGAATGAGACAATTGGTGAACCCAGTTGAGAGCAAATAGAACCATCTGGCTGCTGTATATCTTTTCTTTTAATAGAAAGCTTCCTCCTTAATGCACAGGAAAATGCATCTGTGGCTCCCAGCACAGTAGAGAGACAAACTCAAGAATTTATATTGCCAATAGGACTCTTAGCAGATGTTGCCTCATTTCTTAAGTTGACGGCTTGTTTGCTTACACCTCCTCATTCTGTTGATATTTTCACAGGGAATTCCGAGAGTTTGAAAATGGTTCCATTTGTGTTGAGTGTGACTCCCAGTGTGAGAAGATGGAAGATGGACTACTCACGTGTCATGGTCCGGTAAGCCTGAAGACGTTAGTGGGTGTGATGGCTTATTTGATATCATGTATGTAAATGTGTTGTCATTGCTTAGGGTCAATCTATTTTTTAAATTAGTACTTATAGGAAACTGAGGGGAAACATGTTTAATATTTGAATCTAGAAGCATACAGTTTGGTAGGGGAGATAAAACATTAGGAAATTTAATATCATATAAATATTTTTCCCAAAACTTTGTATTTGAGCAGAAGAATAAGGATATAGAGTTGTCTTGGGACATGACACACTATTGAAAGAAAGATATACAAGTGATCCTCTTAAATGATAATAACTGAATTAATGAAAATTTGTATAGAAGGTTTAAAAACACAGATGAATGAGCAAATAAGATGTAAAAGTGAAAAGTTCATGTTGTTTTAGTGAAATTTTCAATGTCTCTAATGATGGCAGAATGAAGCATACTAGAACGAGGAGCACAAAGAGCTCCCTAAACTAATACCTAAAGGAGTAGAGTCAGAACTGTATTAGAGAGAAGAATCCAAGGAGTAGAGGTCCACTATGAAAACCTGAAGGACTGAGAAGCCGTATCCACAATTCAAAGTTCTGTTCGGGAGAATTTTTTTCTACATCTCAGCAAACTCCTCCGCCCATTAGTTTTCCACCACTTGACTTTCTCTGAACAATGAGATTATTCTGTGCTTGTCATTAAAAATTGATGCATTCATCATTTTTCAGACAAATATTTGGTTTTTCCATTACTGAGTCTTCTCTTAGTAATTAGCTTGGGAATCAACATTTGGGTATAAGCAAAAATTAAGTCTAGTTTCAGAAAAATGAAACTAGACTTAATTTAATCTCTAAAGAACATACATCTTTCTATGAATGCACTTACTCAGTATTTAACTAACTTAGAAAAATATATATAATTGAGTCCTCAGTGAGCCACTCTGAACCTTCTCTAAAGGATGTGCAACACGCAGTGAAAGGACTCTCACAAATTCAATAGCGTATGAAAAGGCGGGTCTTCCAGAAACATAAACTCAGTTATGTGTCATGAAGCATGAGTGTAAAGAACAAATTACTGTTCCTTGTCCTCTAAGAAAGTATTCCAAGGGCATCTGTAGTTACTTCTTCTCCACTATGAACAGTCATGAACGCACAGTTGACCTGCTACATGAGACATACCAAGTTCATAAAAATTAGTCCATCAAAGGACAGGAAGTTTGCTTAGTCTGTTGGTGAAGCAAGCTGAGGTGTCTACCTGGGTTCCTTAAGGCTTGCATATTTAGGTAACTATTTGGCAATAGGTGTTGGAAGCTGTAGAATGGAGCAGCGGGTCGCTTCCTGCCGCCCACCCATCTAGCTTTACCCGAAATAGTTACACAGAAACTGTATTCATTTTAAACACTGCTTGGCCCATTAGTTTCAGCCTCTTATTGGCTAACTCTCACATCTTGATTAACCCATTTCTAATAATCTGTGTAGCACCGGAAAGGATCTTAACCTGCGTCCATCTTGGAGAGGAGAGCTAAAGCATCTGCCTCACTTCCCTTCTTCCCAGCATTCTGTTCTGTCTTCCCTGCCTACTTATGTTCTGACCTATCAGACCAAGCAGTTTCTTTATTAATTAACCAATGAAGGCAACAAAAATACAGAAGACTCTCCTACATCAGGAGGCCATGAGAGTTATAGCAGGTAGCGACTAGTGTTCAGATACCAACCCACCAGAGGGGGGATTCTTTGATGGTGCTTAATTCTGTTCAGACAAGAACTGAAGAACTACTGGCGCTGAAACACTCATATTTGCTAAAGCAGCTTGGTGTCTCCCCATTACTTGCATTGTAGAGTGTAATCTCATGTGATGTGTATAAGTAATCTCATGAATACAACACAGTCTTATAGGCACATATATCTGTGGATGGTCAGGAAGATAACTCTTCATTTATCTGCAAATTTTGATATATAGGAAATATACTATAATATGCTTCATAAATAAATCCACTGTTCCACAAGGACTGTAGATACTTAAAAGCCTGCTCTGTTCCTTTTGCAAAGATTAACTGCACACAGTTAACTGTCTTACCTCATGGAAAGTTCAAACTGCACTAAAGGCTTTTTATAAATACATCATAAGTTTAAAACTTTAGAGTTTTACACAAGGTCAGAGTCACATGTATCTAACCAAGGTTGCTTGACAAAGCAATCTAAGAATCTCATGCCAATTCTTCACTTACAAAGTCTGCTCAAAACAAACTTATGTCCCAAAGTTTGTCAGTGGGCATACCCCATCTGGTAATGGTCTTATTTCTATAACCTTGGAATATTGTGTTGCCATGGTAAATATCTCAGTTCCTTATTCCTTACCTTAGGAATATGATTTTGACTGATGAGAGGTAGCTCTTGTAATTTTTGTTATGCTCCAAAACTGCCATAAGAAGAGAGTGTTCAGGCTAGAGAAGAAGCAGCTAGGAGAATTTAGAAGGAGGGTAGGAAAATTAGAGTAGAAGCAAAAGAATAGGGACTTGTTTAAAACAGCACAGTGTGGGAGAATTCTTTCACCCTCAGATACCCTAAGAGAAAACTTCTTTCTCTTCCTATAGTGTCCGATCTAATCCATAAAGAGGATGTTGGGACTGGATCCATTAAGTAATGAGTGAAAACGAGGTTTCTTCTGAAGTTTAAAAACTTAAATGAATAGATAAAATAACCAATATTGTGTTTTTTTACTGCTTTGCCTGGTAGTGTGAGATGGCTCTGGATATAGTCAATGTGTGTTAAACATAGGCGTGGTGAAATACCACTGGAAAAGTGACTCCCAAGTTTGCCCATGTGCAAATTGTTTAGTTTGTTGATTGTTGCACTGCTTCCTGTGTATTTCCTGCTACTGTCTGAGACTTAGTATTTTCTTGACATGTATCATTTGCTCTTCCTTTCCGTTATTACTCTTTCAAATCTCAGAGAAGCATTCTTACTTTTTTCAGTTTGTGTCATTGCTTAGATGCTTGCTTTGCATCATACTTCATTGTTGTTTTTTACATATTAACACTCATTCAAAATATTTTTCGAAAAAATCAGAGATGAATTTCATATCAGTCTTTTCTCAAATATTTTACATTCTACATCTTGAAGCTCACTTAACTTAATATTTCTAATTTTATTAATTTTTTATATTTCAAAATAACCAAATGTAATTATTGATTCATATTTTAGTATAATTAATCTTATTGGTAGAAAATTAATATGCTGAAGTGAAGTCTAAATATATTATTTGATACACCATATTTTGCTAGAATAGTTTAATAGGAGGAATCTATTTTAACATATTTGGTGTTTCCAGACTGAAAAGATGGTTCAGTGGTTAACAAAATTGATTGCTAGATTGGAGGATCTAGGTTCGATTCCTAGTATGCACATGGCACTCACAATGCTCTGTAACTCCAGTTCTTGGGGGCTGGATACTCTTATACATATTTACATGCAGACAAATCACCAATGTACATAAAAAGAAAAAAAATGATATTTCATACAAAAGATATCAGCATACAGCCTTCATTCCTTTAATGTGATTACACTAGTTTTCAAATGTCAGAAATTTCAATTATCATGTTATTTACTAATCAAAAATGATAATCATGAAGCTCACTGTAGATCGTATTTACAGCTGGGACTTAACAGACATCATGCATGTTTTGAGAGCTTTGTGCTAAGTCTTTCCCCATATATTTTCTTTCCTTATCTTCTAGGTATTTTCTCCATTCTACCAAAGGAGAAATACTCAAAATTGCTAATAAATTTCCCACTATCATGAGCAGAATTACAATCCCAGACTGCATGATTAGGGCTTCGAGCACTCGACCACCTCTCCCTGTGCTCCTTCTGCTCCCTTGCCTTCTGCTACATAAATTATATTAGTGGATAACCTGGTTATTAATTTCTCTCAATGTGCATATTTTTTATAGTTTCTCACTTTTATGTTCTTCAAAGAAATTGAGACAATTTATTTTTAAAAGATACAAACATTTTATAAAAAGCTATATTGTTTGATGACCCTCCTGAACTTGTTTGAGACTTCAAGTCCTAATTCCAACCAACTAACACTTAGATTTTCTTCAAAATTATTTGATATGAAAAGTAAATATAATAAACATTTTTGTTTCATCACGGTACTGCTTATGGGAATAGATGCAACCTGAAAATAGAGACTTTATATGTCTAGAGAACAAAGAAAGAAAGCAGTTAATCAAAACACTTGGAAGTTACAAGGGCAAGGAAGATAGAGAGAGAGAGAGAGAGAGAGAGTTAGTTATATGGTTAGTTTGTCAAAGTTTACAATATTGTAAAAAATTTTTAACTCCTAAAGTTCACCTATACTATTAAATCTGAGGAACACTGTTGCATTCTTCACTTAAAATAGGAATAAACTTAACCATAATTATAGAGTTACTTCACAAGCCAGTGAGACGTGAAGCTTCAACTCCATTGTAGAAGTTATGACTCTAAGTTTTTCATTTCAGTCATTCCAGTTTTTCTTCCAGACAGCAGTGTCTTCAGTGTTGTACAAGGAAACTGTGGAAAGGTAAATAGGGCAGGGGAATCCAATAGGAGGCCAAAGCAGATTCTGAAGAGGCGAGAATAGGAGAATAGGTATTGGATATGGAGAACAAGCTTTCAAACCATGTCTTAAAATGGAAAGTAGTGGTTAGGATAGTTCATCAAAGCTGTGCTTCTATGCCAATTCTATTCTCTTTTGGCTCTCAGAAAAACATAGTAAGTACATTTTATTCAGGGTACTCCGAAAATCTTGGAAATATTCAAAGGGAGCTATCTCCCTGTTATGACCCTCAAGCTCTGAATTTATGGCATCTCGATTTCTGCATGAAACATTTGATAGTGGCAACACGGAGACAGGAGGCTGGAGAGTTCAGCTGTCACCCCTCACATATAGCTTCTACTTCCATTTTATTATTCAAAGTAAGCTTTATCTCATCTGCAAAGAACATTTTTGTATAGTGGTAAATAGTAGCTTTGTTTCAGTAGAAACTCCCTGGGAAAAGGTACTGCCACTGAGAAAAATAACATAATGTACACATTAGGATTTAGTCTGTCCATTTGCTGCCTACCTAGATTATTGGGTCCAGAGGGCAGTTTAGAACCAGAACGTTCTCTCCAGAACATTGTCACTCACTACACCTAGACTCTTAAAAACCTTGGGAATAACACAATAAGGAAGAGTGAGCATTAGATGCTTGTCTTTTTTTATGAAAGTGAAACAGGAGCCAGTGCACTTCAAGTATTTAGAGCTTTGTTAGAATGCCTTTGAGCTATGTCAGCTGGGACAGATTTTTGTTTCATGGTGAATCAGATAAGCACAAACTAGCTGGTTGCATTAGACCATACTTAACTATTAATTAATTTTAATTCATCACATTTTTGTATGTTAAGATTTTTGCCTGGGTATTATTTTCCAATACAAGAATTTAATAGAAAAATATGCCTAATTCAGACTCTGCTTATTTACATATGGCAAGCTTTATTCTGTGTTCTGCAATAAGCGTGTCTCTTGTCTTGTAGAATAAGTCATGCCACTGAACATACTTGCACAGCAAATGATTCTGTATAATAGCTAGTATTACATGCCTAAGTACCCATGAGCAGGTGTTAAAATTGGAAGCTTGTGAAGTATTCTTCTTTGGGAGGAAATGAGAAGTTACCATTAGCAATCCTTAAGTTAGAATGGGGATTAGGTTTCCTATGCTAATTTAATTTTTTTCTTTTTTTTAGCTCTTTGCTTCACATCAAAACAAAGGAATAGAGAGCTATTTGATCTAAGCTCACTGGTTTCTTTATGATTACATTTTCTTCTTGACTTCACTATTTTTCATTAGATACTTCAATCTTTATCTTTGGCTTTGCATTGCTTTATAATACCGACTTATAATATCTAGCTGATTTTGAGGTTGCCTTTCGTATATAGTTAACACCCACAAATAAACATAACTGCACAGTCATCCCTGATTAACAGTTCAGCATAATGTGCTCCTAACATGACTTCAAGCTCACAATATTAGCAAATACGAACTTGGCTTAATTGCATCCCTGAATACTCACTATGTCCTACTTATCTCAGCTATCTTCAGGTGTGCTGTAACAATTGTGCAAGCTTACAGACATACACAGATAACAGGAAGACTAGAGCTGGAGGTAAACAAATTCCAAACAAGTCATCAAAGTAATTTTATCGTCATCCACCTCTAAGCAAACAAAGTACCTAGAAAGGAGGGATGATAGTATCAAATAGAACATAATCAAAATAACAGAATGTGAAAAGATTTGGGCCCTTCTAAAGAAAAATCTTGAGACTAAGCATAATGATACATTGCTATAATTCAGAAATCTCAATGCTGATAAGTGAGAATTAGAGGTTTGAGAACACTGGGTTTCACTAGAAGACACTGTCTTAAAAATAAAAGTAAATATTACAAATGAATACATATTACTTTTGTTAATGTTTTCATATTAGTGTTGCTTATCAATTTTCTATTTATTAAAATCATTATGTATATTGTAAAAGAAAATATGCAAAGTGAGTTCACTATATTTTATATAATCACCTACATCATTGGATAAGATTCTCCAGGCATTTTTTATTTTAAAATAGTTATTATATAATTTATATTATTTTATTTTTTGAATAAGTATTATTTGATTCTAAAGATTGCCCTATGGTTTGCACATCACTTCATTTTAAGCATCAACATAAGATGATTTGAGACAAAGAATAACCGAGAAATTTGTTTACTTACTTATTTATTATTTATCCATGTACATTGGTGTTTGCCTGCATGCATGCCTGTGTGAGGGTGTTGGTTTTCCTAAAAGTGGAGTTACACACAGTTGTGAGCTGTTGTGTGGGTGCTAGGAACTAAATGCTGGTTCTCTGCAAGATCAGTCATTCCTCCTAAGTACCGAGCCATTTGTATGTCTAGGAAGCCTAATACCTGATAATTCAATCAAACTAAATTTTAAAATTTATCTCAAATAGTCACTAGGAAAGTTCGCCTCCTATGAAAAGTAATGTGCTCTAATTTCCACTATGCATTATTTCTCTTTATTTTGTGGAGTAATATCTTCTCAATAATGGTGATAAAACAAAAAAATTGTTTTATCAATTGTTTATAATAAACAATGGAAATAAAAAATAAACAATGGAAAATTTATTATATACATATACTGTTACTTTATAATACTATTAAGAATGAACCACAAGATGAAAATATTGATATCCTTTTGAAAAAGCCATTGGGAATCATTAGTTCAAATTACGTTACAGAGATATTACATGGAGAATAGATGAACTGATTTCCAAAGCAGGATGTTCCCTGAAGAAATTTGATCGTATGATGATAGATGACGACTCATATACGGCACAGCAAAGAAGAACTTTAAGCTCTCTTAGTGCTTAAACTTTAGACTTCAGTGGCCACATCCATGTTAGTATGGATGGACATGCTCTCATTGGAAGATTTATTTAATTGTCACTCAAAAAAAATCTATGAAACTAAGCTACATAAACGCCTTTCAGAAGGATTTGAACCCATTTTTATTTCTCCACATTTGTTTTCCTTTTCATGTTTCAGGGACCAGACAACTGCACAAAGTGTTCTCATTTTAAGGATGGTCCAAACTGTGTGGAGAAATGCCCCGACGGCCTACAGGGAGCTAACAGTTTCATTTTCAAGTATGCGGATCAGGATCGGGAATGCCACCCATGCCATCCAAACTGCACCCAAGGGTAAGCATCCTTTCTGGCCAAGGGCGAAACCATGGACATGTTTTCAGTTAAAAGGATGAACATATTTATCAGTATCTGTGATGATGTCTACTTGCATTGCAATAGCCTCCAGAAATGCTTTTCATCTTTATAATTTACATGTTGATTTTAAATGGTATTCTTTCTAGGTGAATGTCTGAAATGTCTTCACTGATCATTTACCTATAGTCACCTTAGGAACTCCTTCATGAAGCCAGTATGATTTGGATGCAGTCTTGAAATTGTCTAATTTTTACAGTAGACTCAGTGTATTAGAAAAGACAATGCCATACATGTATGAGAGATCTTTTTATGTGCGGTTCTAATTCTTTACTGTCAAAACTAAAAATGTGTATATATCTTTAAAAAATGACTGCCTTGGATTCATCCTTCAATGAAATCTGATACTATGCAATCATGGCAAGAAGAACAAGAATGACATGCTCACATGTGTATGTACAACATACCTAATATAGTGTTAATGTAGACTTCTTTGTCATGAAACAATTCAGAAAGATACATGCATAATTTTCATTCAGAAGGATGTGTTGTGCAGCATAATCTATGATATTAAAAATGGGTAAACACAAATGAGATGGATTGTTTTTTTCGATGTTATGGCCATTGATGGAGACATCAGAGAAAGAACATTGTATACGAAAGGAAATAATGCCAACTCTAATAAATTCTAATCTATTTCTTTAAAACAATATCTTATCTCACTAATAATTTTCCCGTTGTTTCCTAGAAAAGTTAAATATTGTTAAAATTAAGAGTAGCTTAGCTCACTCCATCCTCTCATCATAAAACCTCACTTTCATTCTGAGTGTTTACTCTCAGTGTAGGCAGAGAAACACACAGATGTACACACTTGTTGAGGGTTATCTTGGGTGCTTTATATCTGGCAGAAAGTAGAGGTTCTGTAAAGAGATCGTCCTGCCAGATTGAGCCCTAGCTGTTAGAAGATATTGGAAAAGTGAAGTGAGCAACATTATTTTCTGCCAAAAAAAAAACCCATCAATTTTTGGATGCTGCTATAATTTCCTACAGGTCGGGAAATCAGCTAAGTCACTCCGTGTAGTAGCAGATCCTCAAAAGGTGTAGCAATATTCTGCCCCATGAACACAACAAATGCGGCATAGAAGAGCGGCCTCCCAACTCCGCAGTCTCTACATAAGCACACAGATTGAGGACAGAGATAGTCACCTACACACTTTGCTTCAAGGAAAACAGAAGTAATAAACAATTCCCCTTGTGTGCTTTGGTACACTTGAGCTGAAACTATCTTATGAAAAAATAAAACCTGGTGCTACTGGAGCAGAAGAGTCAGCAAGAGAAAGAGAAAACTTTGCCTGCAAAAATCATCCACAAGAGGGTTTTATTGTTTTGCAACTAAAATTAAACCAGTAAATTATTCAATATAATGTTGATGTCAACAGCTGTTGCCATTCAAAATGAGACCTTTTGCTGTTTTTGCAAATCTAATTACAATGAAGCCATTAGGGATATGAAAGTGAGACAAGAGCCTAGTCTGGATGTGTGGCTGGAGTGTCTTCCTCGTCAGCCTTTTAAATCATAATTGTATAATAAAGGAAAGCATGTATAGTAGAGGGAGGTATAAGTTGAGGTCAATGAGAAGGGTTCATATTACCGTAACAATGAAACTTGGATCTCATACAAATGGGATGCTGAGATTTAATGGGAACCTCTAAATAAATAGAAAAATGCCTTCAATGGCTTGTAGCTACAGAATAATGGTGAAACAGAGGATGCTGTATTTCATAGCATCTTCCAGGGTAATATGTCTCCAATGAGAACGTTTTCCTGAGGTTTTATTGTTGCTTTTATCGAACTTCCCCTTCCTCATTATTAGGAATTCCTACATTGTATGAATTAGATCACAACATACCCACTGTGCTTTGGCATCTTGTATCGAAGAAACATATACTGGGAAGTTCATTCCTTATTTTCAACTGAGTGTGAGCATATAGAGCTATGATTCAGTGAAAGATCACAGACAAAGGGAATGCTGGGCTGAATGACTCTCTTTTATTCCTCAGCTCAGCCATTAACTGACCATATGAGTAAGTGTGAGCTCTCACCAGGCCAGTTCTACTTCAGAAAGCAGGTTCCCTTCCACATGCCGCTATTCATCAGGTCGTTCAATAACCAAGTTAATGGAAACAGACTTTCCAATTACATTTTTTAGGAAATAAGTTTGTACCTTGAATGCAGTTTAATGATTTCCCTAAAAATAAAGTTATGTATCTTATACCTGAAATGTATCTTTACTACTCTAAAACTGTATTCGATAAATTGACTCTAAAAGTCCCTCTAGTACTTTTTTAAAAAGATGAACCATTAGTCCTGATGAGAAACCTCTCACTGATATCCTTAGAAGGCAGAAAAAGAAAAGAAAAAGGAAGGAAGAGAGGGAGGGAGGAAGGAGGGAAGGGAAGAAAGAAAGGAAGGAAGGAAAGAAGAAAGAAAGGAAGAAAGGAGAGAAGGAAGGAAAGGAAAAGTGTCTTTTCTTGCAGTGACTAGGGGCCACATTTTTATCAATATGTTCTTATTTCAGTCATTCTTTAGCTTCTTCTGTGGGATGCATGCTAATCAAGTTGTTTTCTTTCAGTTACTGATCCAAATATTATCACCAAAAGCAAGTAGGAGTAGGAAAAAGTTTATTTCAGCTTGCACTTCTAGGTCACAGTCCATCACTGAGGGAGGTAAGAACAGAAACTCAAGATGGTATTTGAAGCATAAAGAATGGAGGACCACTGCTTGCAGGTTGGTCAGAAACTCATTGCTTAATTAGCATTCTGTATCGCTCAGGACTACCTGCCTATGGTAGGTGCCCCCATAATGAGTACGTGTGCATCAGTTAATAATCAAGATAATACCCTTTTGATATACCCACAGGCCAATGTTATCTAGGCAATTCCTCCATCAAGACTTCCTCTCAGATGAACTAGTCTGTGTCAAGTTGACAAATTAAACCTACCTAGGAGACCTATTTTTTAAACAAAAGTCGTTTTCAGAATTAAAACATTCATTGAGTTATAAGGACTCACACTTCTGTTATCGAATTTATATACCAAACAATACCTTTTTATGGTGTATTGAAATGATGAGTTGGAACAAAATACAATAAAAAATTAAAAAATGAAGTTTTGTCATGTTGGCATACAACTTTAATCATTGGGAAGAAGAAGGAAGAAAATTTCTATAGCTTTGAGGCAAGCCTGGCCTACATAAATGAGTAAGTATGTAATTCAGGGCTCCAGTAACATTCAGTCTCAAAAAAAAACAAACACCAAAAACAGAACAAGAAAACAAAGAATGAAATTGAAATACAACAATATTTGTATTTATAATAACCAATATCTGTGGTTTAAAGAAACAAAAGCTAAATATATTACATAATGCATAATGACTACAGACATTGTTTTCTACAGTGACATCACTTACTTATATGATAAATTAACATCTACTTCATTTCCTTTAATTTTCATCCAAACTTGCATTGTAGACATGGATTGCAATGCTCCTTTCATTGAGTGATGTTTTTAAAATCTTAAAGTTTTGTTATTATTTTTTTGACAAGTACTTTAGTTTCTTTTACCAATTTTTCTTTTTCTAGTTTTCAAGTTTAATTAATGAAAAATAACCATAGGTGGAATGATAGAAATGAAATCAGCTTGTAGAACTCTCTGTAGCCTTTATATTGATAAAATTGAAAATATCAATCAATTTCATTTAAAAAATTGAATATTTTCAGAAAATGTCTGAATTATACTTGTCATGTAGGTAAAAAAGGAACTTACATATTAGTATCAGCAAACATAAGTTAAACTTGTCTCACCATTCTGAATTCTAGAGATGGTTTTGGAGTATGTATAATGTTATGAATTTCTGTAAATATTATGCCTTGGAACACTAATATTTGCATGGTTTTACTTCTGGTCTTATTTTTGGTTCCTTGATTTTTTTCTCAATTTGATGATTATCTTACTTTTTAATCTTGCTTAATCAGTAAGAATTTTATGTTCCAATAGCTGCTTACATATAATATCTATGAAGAACCTAAAATACAATGGTATCTTTAAATATATGATGATTTATACTTTGAAAAATCTGCCTCACATTCACTGACCTATATTCTTCTTAGTCTTTACCTGTTCCTCTAACTGTCAGTATATAAACACATTTTAATCTCAGATATCCTACGTAATACCCTCAACGACTTTTCTTGACCCATGTTTCTTTTCCCTTAATCCTAATTGACTATTTTCCACTCCATAGTAGCCTGACTGGCTCCTATATACTAGTCTCCACGTGACAAGGAGATTTTAGATACAATTCTAGCAATATAATGGATTCCTCCTTTTTTGTTTTTTAGGGAAGACTTTCAAATTTGCATGTTTTAACTTTTCATACAAGCGTATGTTGTGCACTGAGCACCTGTGTTCTTATCCCTTTACCCTCTTCTCCCATCCTCCTCCCCAGCTCATTAATCCTCTTTGTTCCCCAGGTAGATTCACTTCCTTCATGTCATGTATATGTATATAATTTTTATATTGCTGTTTAAGTTCTAGGAACCACAAATGAGAGAAAATTATAATATTGATTTTTTATGAGGTTGGCTTAATTGTTTCATAAGTTGATCTCCAGTTGCACAGATTTTCCTGCAAATTATGTAACTTTGTTCTCTGTGATTGAGCACAATCTCATTGTGTATGTTTACCACATTTTTCATTCATCCCTCTGAAGAGAAAATCTACAGACTGGCGTGGCTTTTTTTCAAACAGCACGTGGCTTTCCGTTATTATCTGCAAAGTTAAAACCCACCAATCTGGCTCTTACGGTTCTTCCTTTCTCTTTTCCTCTCTGTGTGCCTGCCATTGTGCTCTCTCTCTCTACTTGGAACTTTTGTTCAGAGTATAGAATGCTCCAGAGCTTTGCTTTGCTCTTATTTTGTCCCTAACACTCCGAGTCACACCAGTCACAGATCTCAACATTTCAGACAACAGATTGCTGACTCTCTCAGAACGGTGACCATGACCTTCTAAAACGGGACATTCTGGTATTCCTCCTTCACATTATATGTATGGAAATGTACCATACACATATATTCCTGCATTTCTCATCTTCAAACTGTAAGCTTAAAGAAAATCAGCTAAAAAGCATCTAATTCATCTCATTTCTTACTGCAGCTCCAAGCACTTTAGTAGGCTCATCACATTGGCTCATTGAATGAGTGAAGATATTTTATTATTCACACTCTCTCCTCAAAAAGAATTTCACTATTTAGTGTTTTTATCTTTCAAGAGTCATTATAAAGATTGCACACAAACTACAGCTTTTCAGACTCTTCTTGGGATGTAAGAAGTAGACTGTTAATTTTACAAAATGGTAGACTGTCATAAAAATAACATTTGGAAGAGAATATCACAGGAACACAATAAAAAAGCAACTCTTTTGAGCAAAATAAAGGAAAATCATACAATTCTATTCTAGGGATTTTTTAGTAGTTTATTTTCCAATTAAGAATTGTTTTGATAGATCTAATGTGTGAACTAAGTCAACAATGTGTTCTTTAGCTGTTTCTTATCTCTTCATTTTATGCAACTTTGTCACATTGTCTCAAATAAAAATTTACTTTTGGTACTCAAAGGGGATCCTCAAAACAAAACACAGAAAACTGATTTTCTACATAGTAGTAATGTTATAGCATATATGATGGAGCAGAGAGATGGTGACTTAAGTTATCAGATACATTCTATGAGGTCACTAGCATCTCGGGTGAGTTCCAGAAGATGCAGATGGCCTGTCCATATCTCTGGGTGTCTAAGGTTCCTTTTCCAGTTGTTAAACCTCAGAGTTTGAAAAACATGGATACTCTCTATCCCCACCCAAATTAGGCACTCCTATAACTCAGACCCCCAGAAGCTGTGTTTCTTTTGAAAGGAAGAAGAAGAGAAAAAAAAGAAATAAATCCAACTTAAATACATTGGAAAATAAAAAAAGCATTTCCATAATGGCTCAAAATGAAACTCTAAGGACTATATATGAAAATTCTGTGTATTTAATACATTCGTCAAATTTTTATCTTTGTAGATTCCTCACCTCTTTGTGAGTTTATTTATTTACTACAGGATTTTTAATTGCTTTTGTTTGAGTTCAATATTGTGAGTTCCTTTTTTAAAATAAAAGTTTCTCTTTAGCTGGGCAGTGGTGCCCATGCCCTTAATTTTAGCACTCAGAAGGCAGAGGTGGGTGAATCTCTGAGATCGAGGCCAGCTATGAGCTAGTTCCAAAACAAGCCCTATAGCAACAAAGAAACCCTGTCTTTAATAATAAAAGTTTCTGCTTACAGGTCAAGTTTTTGCTATTTAAAAGTGATCATGAAGATGTGCTGCAGTGAGAGCCAAATCAGTTCATTTGAGTTTTAAATAAATGCATGTTTAATGATAAAAATAAAGAAATTCATAACAAGGATTGAAATAATCTGATTATGTAAAATATCCATGGGAATTACATTAAAATATACTAACATATTTTCTGCCAATATCCATCTTTAATGAACATCAAGCTTAAGGCTATTATACTACAGTATTATACTATAGTCAATTGTTCAATGCCTTTTTATTGATTGTGGATTTTCCTTAAACTTAATGGTGTTTTAAGAGAAATGACGTACATGAAAACATTCATAGTCATCGAACTATCAAGTAACTAATCTAGCTGTGTATAGTGATGAACGATGCAAATGGATCAGAAATGACTGATGCTTATGGGTGTTATCCACAGAAGCAGGTAAAATTCCCGTTGTTATCTCCACGTTTCTGGCACTGTACTGAGAAGGTAATTTTAATTAAGTCATACTTTCAATTTACTTCTGTGTTTTCACCGAGAAATAATTTTCTCTTGGTCTCTAAAATTACGCTTTTCCCAAAGCTGCCAAATATTAAAATTGAGAATTTTGTACATTTAGTATGTATCTCAGCGGCTTTTGGCTTTGTTTGTTTAATGACTGATCTCTCCTTCCTTGTATTTCTTTGCAATTGTAATTTCTGCAGGTGCACAGGCTCGAGTATTGAAGACTGCATCGGCCTGATGGATAGGTACTTGGTGTGCTTGCTTCCCATGTTCTTTCTCCAAGGCTCCATGCGTGAGCACTGGTGCATGTGTGTGCATGCCACTGTGGATGGACAGTGATGGTCTCTGTTCTGTAATTGCTTGCAGGTGTAACGGTCCCACTATTCATGACTGCATTTACTACCCATGGACGGGCCATTCCACTTTACCACAACATGCTAGGTAACATCAACCATGTTTCCACTTTATCACTCAAATTCTTTCCTGGTTACCACCGACAAAAATACTAACCAATTGTACTAGAGTTTAAATCCACTAAATGGGAGTTACAACAGAATGGAAAATGCTTTGCTTTTAAAATCTTTTCTTCATGTTACCTTCATTCATGAGGATTTCAGAGTTTTGAGTAGTAATGGCATTGATTTTAAATTTTATACACTTAAAAATTAGTAATTATCTTATAACTTCAAAAGAATATTCTTAATCTGAGATGTAATTTAAAAGCTCAAAATTCATAAAGGACAAATTTGAAAATGTTAATTGATACTTCTAAAATGTTCGTTATATAATTTGAATTTAATTTCTGATTTTGTGTTATTTTGAACTATTATATTTCCAAATGGTAAAATTGTCATAGAATCAATGAAATTTGGAAAATACTTTGTTCATGTTAAACCATATATTGGAATTATAATAGCATACTTTATTATTCATGTTTACACAAATTTCTGAGCACAAATATTTGCAGTCGTTTTAATCACAATCAACAAAAACTGGAAGCAAGTGAGGCTACCCTGCTGTGGTGTACCCGTGCACTGCAATATGCCTGAGTAATGAAAAGGAAGAAACTGATGATGCACACACAGTGGATGGATCTCAAAGTCACTACGCCGAATGAAAGAAGTCAGACTGTCAGAAATACATGCTGCTTGATTTCCTTTTTATATCAAACTCTGGAAAAGATAAAACCACAGGACTGAAATTCAGTTAGAGTTGCAAAAGCTAGAATTTTGGGAGTCGAGTTCACCGTAGAATAGTAAGACAGACTTTTGCAGATGATGAATCAATCTACACTTTTAAGGTGGTATTGGTTGCACAAATAAAAGTGCTCAACACAAACCATACCTTATAGATTTTATTATAAATTATATAAATCTGTGGTTTATTGTTTATAATAGATAAGCATGATTTTAAAATATTTTGTGAAACATTTAAACTAAGAAAGTAGAACTTTGCAACATTACATAGAAATACTATTAGTTTTCGGAAACAAATACATTTGAACCTTTTGCAAATGCTACAGCAAAGTTAAAATCAATGAGAATTTTAGATGAAGTATTACTTTTAATAAAACGTTTTTTTATCATATGACAATGAAGAATTTGTAAAGCATAATCATTAGATAAGAAGCATCACAATAGCAATAGATTTCAGGGGCTGCCTTTATCAGGGTTCGCTTGCCATCATCCTAAATTCTAACACTTAAGACAATTTGTCTAGTGTTTCCATCTTACTCAGTCCTAATATAGTCTTGTTCTATGCATGTGGCTACTTTCACTAAATATTACATGTATAAGATTCATCAATGTCATCGAATCCATTCACAGCTTTTCCATTCATTTGCCTTTAATTGCTTCTAAGTTTTAAAGTGGTTGAATAATTGATCTGTCATCTTCATGCGTTGTCTATTAATAAGTAGTGATGACAAGTTCTAAAGTAAATTAGGTGTTTACAGCAACATGGCTTATATAACAGTGGCACCTTGATCCTTGGGCTTGTAAAACTAGTTAATGTAGTTGTCTTAAGACAACTGAGAACTTTGAGAACCTTAACGAAACTAAGAATAGGGGAAAAAGAAGCAATGCATGGGAGTTAAGACAGAAACCCAAGTCTGACTTTGTCTTTCAAGAGTTATCTTGGATTCTTTTCATGTTCATAAACTAATATTTCTTCTTCAGATTCTGCCTGGGTCCCTGAACTATCATTTGAGAATGATTTTCTATTTATTTGGATGATTTTACTTATAACTTAATCTAATAATTTACCACATGGTGATTAAAGTATTTTGTCTTTGAAATCAGATTTTCCGATTTAAAATTAAGCTCTGATCATTTTTAGATGTGTGACTTGAAGGTCTTAACGTTATCTGAGGGGCACAGTTTCATGTGCACAGTGACAACATTATGTAGTGCCTAAACTGCATATTTACTTAGTAACAGTGCCTAGCTCATAGAAACTGCTCATTTGTTATATACTTTTCTATATAACATTATCATTATTATTATTTTTGTATAACCAGGATTCTCCAACCTCAGGAATGTGAATTTCTGCTTCTCAGGGGAAAAAGAGAAGTCTCTCAAAGTCACCAGAAAGCATTAATGAGTACTGATGCCTTCTTGATGGCTTTCTTGAAAGAAGGGAGCTATTTCTGTCACTTTGCCTTGAGAATCAGGGAGAGGACATTTAGTCATGGGGAATAGATGTAGAATAACAGTTCACTTGTAGTTGCAAATGATTTTAACTGATGTCACACAACTCAAAATCATAATGCGTCTAATTACAGATTTAACAATTTACTAATTTAAATAAAATGGTTAAATTTTCAATCTTTATAGCATGCCTGGATTTCCATGAGATAGTCCAAGATTTCAGAATAACACAGATATCCATGTCATCAGTAGATACACAAGGCTAGAAATGGTAAATGACTGTAAAATGAAGTACATCATTCCTAAGAGAAGTCACTTGTAACTCTGCTAATCAGGTAAAGATCAAAGTTCTTCAATGTGAACACATGGTTTCAATATGGGTTCTATCTTGTTTCTTATCCATGAAATTGGATTATATTGTAAAATTAGTTTGAGGATTCTATGAGACAACATATCAATACCATCCTGGGCTAAACAATCACTGACAGCACTTGTAGCTGTGACTGAAATATTGACATCATCTCAGAACAATTGTATTATATGTTGACCTATTTGTATTTTAATCCAATAAGTTAGTGAATACAGAATCAACATATTAAAATTTCTCAGATTTTAATCATTTACTTTTTACATCAGATTATCACTCAGGGCCATGATTTCAATAGGTAATTGGTAACTTCCAGCTTATTATTTCTTTTCTGAAACCCTAAATGTATTTACTCTGTCTGTTTTATAACTTTGAAACAATGTAACTGTATTTTTCAATTGTGATGAGTTGTCAGAGTTGAGTGACCTGTCAGGGGCTGCACATATGATAGTTTAGAATGTCCATAAACATTTATTTTTAATTCTTTGGAGTATTTGACTTACATTGGATGAAAACTTGGCATCGTCAGATTCCCCCGCAGGGCCCACATTTCTATGATGAGATGAATGGGCATTCATGAAGCAGCTTCTCTATCACTAAGATCTCAGCACCTTTTCCGTCTTTCAGAGTCACTGATAGTTTTAGAAATGTCCATCTTGATTGAATAAAGCATATATTTCATAGTGGGAAGACCAGAAATAGGACAATGGGAAATAAATATTTTCAGCTTCCTAATCCACCTTTTAATTGGTAGAGCATCCAAATACTTAGTTTTGGTTTTTTTTTTTGTTTTTTGTTTTTTTTTTTTTGTTGTTGTTGTTGTTTGTCACAGAAAATTACGTTGAGCAAGCCAATGTTGTTTCTTCAAAATATTTAGAGGTAGTACTCCCCACTGCCACACTGTTTTTGTTTCTGTGTTCTGTTTCCTAACCCTACAGGGAAAAGAGGACTGGAGATTTAAATGAGAGCAGGTAAAATGCTTCTGATCTTGATTGACTTTCATTTTCAAAGCAGTGTCATTTTTTTCCCTGAAACCTGCAATTTGTAAATTGGTTTTCCACACTCCATTTACCTTGCAAGCCATTGCTGGAGTCTCTTCCAGGAAGATTGGTGGGATACACTAAAAAGAACTAAAGACTCTGTTTTGTATCATAGAATAACCTATTTACAAGGAAAATAAAACAAGTAATTATTTATTCTCTCTCTCATTCACATTTTCTAACCTAATTAATACCTAAATATGACATTTACTTTGAACAACCTTTTTCCAAATTTTTCACCTCCATTATTCTGGTCTCTTAATAACACCATGGACAATTGTATTTTTCAAGACTCTTTTTGTGTGTGACATTTGTCTTAGCTAGCTCACAGGCTACTTTGATATAGATTCCTTCTTGATATAAAAATATTAGATTTATTCTATCTTGGATTCTTTGTCAATATATATGAAATATATGAAAAACTGGAGAGCCTACTCTTATATAGCAAGAGGCATGTATGTCTTAATCAGAACAATAATTAACTCTATTGTTGAGGAATTTCTCCATGTTAGTTAGCAAAATGTAAACTGACTATAAATTCATTTTACTTTGTTGGATAAAAATATCAAAATAGATATAAAAATACATACTAGATTACCTATTCCTGTATTCTTATCTCATCTGGCTCTTTGTTCTAATTAATTTTTTATATATTTTGCAATATGTAGTACAATAACTGAAATTATTTTCTCTAAGTCTATAGTATAAAACTATTTAAAACACTCCCAAGTTTCATGTTCATAGTCACACTTTTATGTTATGGTACCGTGAGTTTTGCCCTGAGGTCACATAACAGTTTATGCTTTGTCAAACTGACCTGTGTGTGACTGAGATGAAAGAAATGGCATCATAGTCTGGGTCCACTTACATATGACACACTGAATTTCTTTGTTTTCTCCCAAGGAAACGAGTTCAGAATTCACGTCCAGATCACATGCTATAAATCAAATGGTGACGTTTGAAGAGGAATAGTTAGTTATATTATGATGCCTAAATGCAATAAATAAAAGTGCATAGCCTTTTCATTAGAAGGCTGTCTGCATTCCATTGCATTCTGTTTGTTACATTCTCTTTTCAAATGAGCAAGTCCAAGAGATGAAGGTCAGGGTGCGATGCTCTTCCTTTCCTGTGATTTACACCATGCTTCCTGGAACCTGTGAAATGTCTCAGAATTAGCAAGGGTTCACAAAGTTTCTCTGCTCACTTCTTAATGGTTGTTCATGTAGCTGAAGAGGCTACTTAAAAAAAGAATTTAAGCATCTTCAGGATGCTCAAGTGGTTTTC